ATTAAAGTTGAGAAACCAATAGTAATGAATTTTTAGTTGAGGAATCACAACTACATGTTTTAATGAATTGAGAGACCATTAAATAACAAATGGCCCTAAATACAACTGACATCTCATAATTTAATGATCAACTTAACAACTTTCTGACGATTACACAAAATTAGTACAACATCGTAAGTCATTGTATAAAATTTATAAAAAAAAAAACCCTATAAGATGTTGTATAATTTAAAATTGGACGAAAAAGAAACAACAAGACAAATTAAAGACCCCTCCTATTAATTTTTATTCTCAGAGATTAGAATAAAAGTTGAGGCAGCCCCGACCCATTTTGCCAGAAAGCGTACCCAAAAATTGCTCAAAATTCACTTAAAATATTTGCGACCTCGACACTCTCTACTGAAAAAAAAAAAAAGACACTCGTTGAATCCTTTTACCATCGTTCTTCTCAAATATTCCGATTATATCCCCATGGCTTCTCCCAGAAAGAGCCCGTTATCGGAACCCGGAGATCGCCAGTCCGCTGCGGCAATCGTAGTCCAACCGTCGTCCCCGCGCTACACTCCCAGCGGGACCCCCACCTCCGGAGCCCAGCGCCGGATCGGGATCGCCGTCGATCTCAGCGACGAGAGCGCCTTCGCTGTTAAATGGGCCGTCCAGAACTACCTCCGCCCCGGGGACGCCGTCATCCTCCTACACGTCCGTCCCACCAGCGTCCTCTACGGCGCCGACTGGGGCGCCACCGACGTCTCCATCCCCGAGGACCAGGAGTCCCAGCAGAAGCTCGAGGACGATTTCGACAATTTTACCGTCACCAAGGCCAACGACCTCGCCAAGCCGCTCGAGGAGGCCAAGACGCCATACAAGATCCACATAGTCAAGGACCACGACATGAAGGAGCGGTTGTGTTTGGAGGTTGAGAGGCTTGGCCTCAGCGCCGTCGTGATGGGCAGCCGGGGATTCGGGGCTTCTAAGCGGACCTCCAAGGCCAGGCTCGGCAGTGTCAGTGACTACTGCGTGCAACACTGCGTTTGCCCTGTCATCGTCGTGAGGTTCTCCGATGACAAGGATGATGAAAACGACGCCGTAAAGCAAGGTAACTTTGACTGCCCCGTCGTGCCTGAGGAGGAGCCGGAGTTTCATGACGCTTTGCATAAAGGTTTGAACTTTGAGCTTTCTCTGCCATTTTTCTTTAATTCTTGATTATTACCGTGCATTTGTTGTTAATCCTGTTTTAAATCCATCAAATTCTATAGTTAGTATTAGTACTGCGATTGTGCATTTGATTGGGAATCTGTGTTTGGAGATGATTAAAGGTTTGTCCTTGGTATTAGCTTCGGATTAATGTCTGATTAGTTGTTAATCCTGCTTTGAATTCTTGCTTTCCGAATTTTGTTTTACTCAAGTGGTCCAATTCTTTAAGCTCTATCTAAGCCAGTGCAAATCCAAACGTTGGCAAAGTTGTGTGTTTCCCTTGTAACGTTTTATCTCTTGTGCCAAAAACATTGCGTTCAAGAATGAGAGCCGCCATAAAAGCCTTCTACTTTGCGTTGGGTTATTTAGACGGTTTCCTTTTTTTCGTCATTCTCTCTGAAGTAACATATTTGTTTAGCACGTAATACACGTAAGTAGGAGGCAGTTTATTCTCTGAGAGCGATAAGTTGAAGTAGCTAAACACCTGGGTGGGTGGATGTGAGGCGAGGGCATGATCCACTTGCTTGTCGCCTTTTATGTTTCTTAAATGTAAATTGCAAATAATGGCTTCATCATTAACATTCCCCTTTAGATTTTGAGACATCGAGTTTAACGCTGTTTCAGCCTTCATTGTGTAATTTTAGCACCAATTTCACCTTTAAGGGCTTCAATTAGTACAAGCATTTGACTTCTAGTAAAATATAACAGTTAGGTATTTGGATTCTCAAGTTTTCATTTGATTGTGTTTCTTGTAAGGAATAGTAATAGAAGTCTCTTTATTGGAAAGAGTTATAATGGTAGAAGGAATAGAAGTCTCTAGGATAAGGTTATAATTGATGTTTCATGGCATCAAATAAGCGAGTGTTTTCCCTTTTTGTTGGTATCTTAAATATTAGTATATGTCGGTTGCACGAACAGTATTTTTCACGGCGTTTATACTTTTGAAACAAACTAATGTTTTACAACCAACATTCCTAATAATCAATACTCGAAAACAAACACATGGATTAATAGGAGGAATCAGTGGTTTTTGTAGGAGCGTTCTTGCTAGTGCTTCATGTTTTCTATATGGATCCCTAATTCCCTACTACCATTCTTTAAAAATATTCAGGCAAATAAAATGGCAGATTGTAACTACTAGTTGTGCTGTCATGTTACGTGTAGGCTTGTATGTGTTATATCCTTGCTAGTGTTTTCAATGTGGATCCTTTACTACCATTCCTTCAATTGTTTGTGCTGCTATGTCGGTGATATACATTGGATTATCTGAAACCTGCTTTACTAGAAGTTTCTTCTAGAGGAAACTGAGGATTTAAGAACGCTGAACAAAAAGGGGTTCATGATGGTTTTAGGTTGGTGTTTGATGAGTGATTGAGTCTTACCCGGCATGCCATATGCTTTGCATTGTGACAATCCTATTTGCATGATACTTTGATTTGAGTCCTGTTAACCCTAGAATTAGTTATGAATAGTCAACGATAAGTGTTTTGTAAGTGCTGACACTTGTAAGGTTCCTTCCAAGATAGCTAGGTCGTTTGCACTGTAGGGTCTTTAGGCATCATGATTGAACGTGCACTCCACACTTGTGTCGCTCGGCTGGATGAGTCCATGTAGTAGGTTGTTTCTTCAGAATACTAATGTCCATGTGGTATTGAATTATCTGGTCAAATGTTTCTTCATGCTCAGTACCAAACATAAGTCTTGTGCAGAAGGATTAAGTCAACTCTGGAGTTCAATGATAATCTGGACATCCATCCTTTATTTGTTGGCAATTATTCTCGAGCCAATGGTTTTGAACTATGTATATAAGTTCATCTTGTATTCATCTTGTTAGAGCTTTTTTCGTAAGTTTTATATGGTTTACCTCTCTCTCAACGATTCAGTTGGAAAATGACATCGAATTAATGCCTTGCAGATGCCGATAAGGCGCGCTGAACAACAGATGGAGATGCTGGACGAGCTTTCAGATGATGTTGATCAAATACTCCCGGTTCATGTGTAATCACATTGTATGGAAAAAGTGTGGCGGTACTACTGAGTCTCTGTTTTTGCTTTCTTTTATTCCGGTCTGGTGGGTACTGAATCTACTGATCGTTGTTTTAACCACCTTTTTACTGCATTCGCATGGTTTATGATGCTCCGGGATGATGAATAATGGATGAGTGTCTTTCTTCTTCCTTTCAGCATTCTGCATGTACAAAGCCTGCACTTTCATCTTGTTGCATGAGTTTTGATTAAAAATAAAATAAAATAAAAAACTAAAAGCTGGCCACCCATATCTAATTGTCGGGCCTTTTGTGGGCTTCATAAGGTGAAATGCGAATTTAGGCCCATACTTTGGTGATGTAAGTAAAGTCAAGACAGACGTGTGGTGTTAATTAATTGAAATCTTATAATTTAAGGGATTGAGATTCATTCTGGATTTCTGTGTTTGGAGCTCGCAGAGTGAGAGTTTCGGACCACTCAATTTCAATTCTATAGCCCTCATCTCACTGGTCGACTTCACAAGAACCTAAGAACTTGAACGGCCCAAATTTCCTTCTCTTTCTCTTGAACGTTCTGGATCTTTCGTTCTACGGATTCCGAACAAAGAAGTTCGGAGTGAACATCCCGTAATTTAAGTATACAACCTACTTGATGTGTCATAATTTAGAATATAAAAGTAGTATTATAACATGAGTGGTGGACATCCCCAACATAAAACAGTCGCACCAAAAAAATTACTCATAATCGTAAAAGAGACGATCCAACATAAACCCTAAATATCACACATCTCGAGGTGTTCAACTTTTGAAATGGATTCACCACACAACCACATTGTCTCCCTCTGCAAGTAGAAGCAAAGAATTTCGATTTTCACCACAAAACAAATCCCCAAGGACGCTCTCTGCCCCTTTCTTGATCCCTTATTTCTTTTCATTACATCTTAATTTTTGTTTATTAGCTTTCTTAATAATCACTAATCAACTTGCAATTAAAATACTATATTGCTAAATCATGATTTATGGTACGCACGTGGTCATGTTCCATGATTTGGCCCCATCGCCCTCCCATGATTAAGTTTACAGATATTATATTGTTAAAATTTATCACGCAAGAAGCTTCTATTTGACAATATTATCGCTTTATGTATACATCATAAACATTGATAGGTCGAAATAACGTCATTGAAAACGTAAATAATTGCAAAAGAGAATCTTCCATGTGTAGTAAATTACTCAACAGGAAGCAATTTTGTATGCCTCTCTCAAATCTAGTAACAACCTGCTTAGATCAAACCTTCCCAGTTAAAAAATATATCAGTAAAATTTGATTGGAGTCAAGGATGCTAAAGTTAAGCACTGGTCCACTTGTAAGGTCAAATCATATTTTTCCTTTTCTTGTTCCAGGATGCTGGAAATTTATGACAGAGTTTTCAAAATTAGAATACTTGTGGTTCATGCAATTTATATTATATCTAAGAGTTGAGCGTCACACTCATTACGTTATACATGGATATATTTTGGTGATACGGTAGTATTTTTCAAGTATTATGTAAAGTTATTCAAGGCTCAACCAAATACACCGCTAATCACGCCCACAATTACCCCAAATATGTACAAAAACTTTCTTGCATCAGAGATGTTATTGTGACTTTGTTCTAAGTTCATCGCATACTATTATGAGAATTAACTTTTTAACGTGACACTTCGTAATTAGCCTAAGATACTCACAAATGAAATCGTTATCTTACGGAAGTTATTCTCCCTAATACGATGTACGAAAGTTATTTTTTCTGCCATTAAATTGAATAATTAAGAGAAAACTCAATGATAAACTTAAAATCTTAAGAGAGTATTGAAAGTTGAAATGGAAGTACGGAATGTAAGAATAACGGAAATCATTCCCCAGTGTGCAGCGATGGAAATGAAGTTGGCTACTTGCAGAAGTTTATGCACAAAACAGATAAAATTGTGCACCGATGGAAATGAAGTTAGTTAATTAATCTGGTCACCTGGGTTCCCTTCTGGCTGTTGATCTGGAAATGTTCACGCTTTCACTTAATCGTTCTTCCCTACTGCTCGAAGAAGTTGAAGACACAGGCGGAGGAGGCTTACACGACCATGGAACAACTTGGTTTTCTTCTTCTTCTTCCGCACCGTCCTGCCCTTCTTCATCGTCGTCGTCTTCGTGATGATTTCCTTCATTATTATTGACACAACTCTCGCAAACAGAAACAGAAGGGCAGAGCTTGAGACCGGAGCCGATCCAGGGGGTCGGAGATTGGCAGACATGGCAGAGCAGAGTTCTTGAATGCTTGGCCACCAGAAAGTTTGCACCGTGAACTTTGACGTCGCAGTCCCAGCAGAGGCTTGCTTGATCGGAATCGCAGTACACTTGTGCTGCAGAGTCACACAGATCGCACTTCTTCATCTCTCTCTATGTTGTTAAGCCCCTGGTGGCTGTGTGCGTGTATATACATATGTAAGGGAAGAAGCTGAAAACATATGATGCAGGGCAAGTTGCAGCTATTTGTATTAAAAACCAGCTCTGGTTTTTCCTTTTTTTTAAAAATAAAAAATAAAAAATAAAAAAACAGAAAAGGGAAGAATTATTTTCTTTTCTTCTGAGCTGGGAAGGATGCACCTATCATCCTCACTCCTTAAGTTTATGAGGCAAGTTTATTGACTAAACTGCTAAAGAATACTAGATAAAAAGTACTGGAAATTTTACCGGTAAAAAAGTAAGAGCATTGACGTTGCGTTCGGAAGAATAATAGATAAAAGTGCGTTCGTAGTGATTTGGTAGTACTTTATAATTAACGCTTGAGTAGTTTATTGGTACTCTTCTTGTGGAGAAATTTTTCACCATACTGGAAATTCGGCTTAGTACATCAAATATCATAATACAAATGATTGAATTTCTTTTTTCAAGTATCCAATCATTTATATTATGATATCTAGTGTACTGGACCACATTACTATTATATTGAAAAATCTCTCATTTTGAGGCATTTTAGCAAGCAGTTTAAATTTGTTTTAATACTTTAAAGTGACTTGTCCAAACATAGCATGAAAGAAAATTTTCATGACCTCTAATTAGTTGAGAAATGGTAAAATCGCTCCCACACACAAACAAGAAGTACAAATTTCCCCATGCAGTTGTGTGACTAATCCTAACACTTCAAATGAGAGTTTAATCATGAATGAGGGAATTATGCGCACTCACTCAATCAGCACTCTTTTTACCCTAAAACCTAAATTTTTGCAGCATCAAACGGCACCAACCATGCAATGTAGATTGGGGTGGGGTCCCATAGAGAGGTCCACCCACTGGGTCCAATTGGAGAAATCTGTGGTTGGTCGTGCATGAACCCAGTGCGCTCTGAATTTTGACAACAAAATTGATGCAAGATAAGATCGAGCCTCTCAAGTCTCAGTTTATTTATTTAGACACTACAGGTGTCTAAATTCCAGTGAACTGGATTATTTTGTGGATAAATTTCAAAGGGTTGCTGTCACACACATTGCTTTTCTTATTTTCGTTTTTCAATCCGGAAAGGAATCCTCTCGAGATCCTTACTATCAAATCTTACTAATCAACAAATTCAGGTCTTTAAAATTTAATTTAACGGCTAAAAACAGGAAGCATCTTTAAAAGTTATAATAACTTTAATCATTGGATTAAATTTCAAAAGTCCAAATTTGTTGATTGATAAGATTTGATGAAAGAGATCCGGATCCCTTTCCTTTCAATCCCAGAAAACCAAGTAGTTCTGTGAAATCTGTGGGATGGCTAGGTGAACCTACTAGCTTCCTGTATATGCATGTGTAGAGGACACAACTTGCCGAATTTGTTGGTGGATGGATAATCACATGAGACTTGTAACTCAGGTAATTACAAGCAATGTCTTGACTGTGAGTCTTATGTTCGATCTCCTCTTCAATAATTTCAATAAAAGATTTGCAACTAATATTATTGCCACCATTTCCCAAACTCAAAAATGGATGCAAACTGAGTTTGATCTCATTCTTTCATGCATGTCTTAAGCCTTTGAAAGAACATAACTATTAGCTAAACTAATTGGTAGCTAACTACACGTCTAGAAGTTTCAAATAAATAAATAAATAAATAAAATCTTATAAGATGGAACAAATGATTAACATTGTGGTTGCACTATTGGCCCGGGCTAATCCCATCCAGGCCCCGTAACCTCCTAATTCCGATTTCGGAAGAGTCCCTTATTGTGGTCCACTATATGCCTAGGACACCCCATTTAAGTTCTAAAGCAATCTCTCTCTTTTTTTGGCTGTTACAAAGAGGGCTCAATGCTCAAGCCGCTAAACAAAGAAAGAAATCAACTTGAGGGGCTTACACAAACAGCCTGAGTTCTAGTAATCTTGAAAATATCATCTGGAAGTAAACCAACAATTGAAGAAGGAGGGTATCCAACATAATACAATTCAAGTACAAAGAAAAACTCAATTTTTGCCAAATCATCAACCATCATGTTCCTTTCCCTATAAATTTGACTTAAATCACATTGATTAATTGAGAAACCAGGTGATGACAACCATATAACAAAGAAGTCAAGGGATGCAAATCATGCAAAAAACTAATTTGAAGAGTGAAACTAAAACAGCAGTAAGAAAAGAGAGGAGTAACCTGTTTTATTATTATAAGCTACCCGAAATTACAAAACTAAGATGAGCAAGAAGAACAAAGAAATGAAAGAAACCGAAATTCCCACATAAGAGAGATCCTACATTTTATAATTTATTACATATCTAAAGCTACCACCAGTAATTCTTGAGAACTTTGCATCATGGCAGGGCTCAATCTGAACATGAGGGTGCAAAACTCCATCTCATCCAAGGCGTCATCACCGTCCAAATCACCTTCCTTGAGCATGCACATGATCTCGTCATCGCTCATGCCTTGCAATCCAAGCAATCCCGAGTTCTTCTTCAAGCTCTCAAATGTGATCACTCCCTTCTCTCCATCCGTCAACAACCGAAACCCTTTCGACAGCTCCTCCATAAACCCTTCTGCTCCCAATTTCTCAACCATGGCTGGAAAGAAATCTTCAAACACAATAACCCCATTTCGAAAAGCCATTGATTTAATTTCCAAGGTGAAAATTTGATGAAACGAATAAAGCTAGGGTTTAATTCAGCGTAGATTATCCTATAGTTTGCCGGAGAAAATAAAGTTGGGGTTTTTGTGCGTCGGTTTTCAAATATTTTATGTGTGGAAAAGTGAGCTAGCGTGGGGTTTATATATTATCAGGGAAATTGAGTGAATTAATGGAGAAAATGAGGAAGATGTCGAGGAAAGAGGGAGTGCCGTGGATGACAACAAATTAAATTGTACAGATAACACGCCGGCATGATCGAAATTTGCTCTGCGTTATAGTTGGTGGGATGTTTCATTTCTGAGAGGCTTCTCTTTCCTCGAAATTACATGGGAAGGTCCAGAAAGTAAAGAGGGTCAGGTAGTCATGCATGGCAAGCAATTAAATAGCATTTTCCTGAAAAGATGAAACTTGGCATGCATGAGCTCTTTCCAAATCAGCATCTGACAGCTAGCAGACAGAATTTTGCCACATAATATCATTAATTTAGGTGGTAATTAGAATCACATAACAATGGTATAATTACTTCATGCGTTATAATATGCGTAAATAATTATAAAGTTGATGTTCTCACTTTTAGCATGTAATATCAACCTTTTTTTTCTAATAGAAAACTTCGACAGTACAAGGAGAATAACGTATAATATCAACAAAAGTTCACTCATATTATAAAAACATATTTTAGATTGCGATAAAAACATATTATAAAAATCTAGCCAAAACTAAAATGAAAAATTGATAATACATATGTCGTGTAGGGAAAAATTTTGGGAGTGATAATCTTCCGATGTCAAGTATTATAATATGAGTTGACAATAAAACTAATATTTTACAGACGTATGGTATAACAATGATAAATAAATACATGTATATGTTGTCACATAAGTGAGTTGTAATGTCATGTGTCAATAGTTTGATAGCGACACCAATTATAATTTAATTATTTTTTATTGTTTCGTAAAGATGCCAAATAATTTCTTGAATTGTGTAGTAGCACTCATCGTGTGGTAAGAGCGTCTTTTATTAAATGGAGTTTTAACAAAACACTTTTGGTATTATTCACTTTTAACAAAAAAACCACATTTTTACCTTTTTTCTGGTAACCATTCACTGTACCTTTATTTCATTTTTCATTAAAACTATAGTTTTTTTGAACTTTTCGTTAGTTTTCCTTTTACTAAAAGTATGATCATGTAACAATTGTGTGGAGTTAAGTTCAATTTTCTTTTTCTTTAGTTTCTTTGCAAGTAATACCTTTTTTAATTGGGGTGTGATATTCACACACCCTTCTAATTTTTGCCCGTCGGATCGGATGAATTGAAGAAAATCAACGGATAGAAATTAACAAGGAATGTGTAAGAAGTAACATAAAATGTGTGGATAGCACACCCCTTTTTAATTCTTTTCCCACAACCAAATTGAAATGGTAGAAGAGTAGGTGGATTGGGTCCATATATAAACATGCACGTATACGAAAAGTAATTTACAGGACCAACCACGAAAGTTCAAAGCATTCACGCATGTGCATTCACCTAACCAAAGTAAACAACAAGACGATGCCTAATGAGCAGTAGTTAATTTGGGATTTGTCAACATCTTTGAAGTTTTACCTGCCGAAAAAAGAAAGTATGAGTATGCAAAATTCCACATAGTACCTCCCCAAAATTGCCTATCAATTTTGCTTTGAAAATTGATATGCGACGTTACGTACGTTCCAAGGGAGAAAGAGGCAGCACTTGCAAAATTGAGTACAGCCTTACAGCTATGAGTCCATTAAATTTTACTAACTACATTGAGAAAGAATCAAAGAGTAATAAGGAATGCAGAAAAATAAAGAATTTGAGAGAGAAAAAAAGAGTAAAATGTATGAATTGTATTTTAGACTTGATGAATTGGATTCTCACAATTACAAAACTTGTATACACACATATATATAGCTTAAAACTGTATTCTTACACTTCTAACAAACTAACTAATCTTTTTAACAACCTAACAACTAACCAATGAAAAGAATCAAAGAGCAATAAGGAATGCAGGAAAATGAAGAACTTGAGAGAGAGAGAAAGAGAGAAAGAGTAAAATGTATCAATTGTATTTTAGGCTTAATGATTTGTATCCTCACAATTACAGAGCTTTTATACACACATATATCTAGCTTAAAACTTTATTCTTACACTTCTAACAGACTAACTAATTTTTTTTAACAACCTAACAACAAACCAATGATGAGCTGTCATTTATTGAGAATTGACACTCAATAAATTTTACATGAGTATATAAATAATTTGGCGTACTAAATCACCGTCACGTGATATAAGTCAATCCATGTATTATTATATCAAATTTTAAAATATGTAGTAAAAGAAGAATAATTTTAATAATAAGCTCAAAAACTACAGAAAATGACAGATAATAGCTGATAAGGATTTTTACCACTTGCAAAAGTAAGGATAAAAACACTTTAAATACTTGCAAGAGTACAAGGTAATTGTAGTATAGCAGCTCAAGTAAGGTCGTTCTCCACAGGAATTGAATGAATAATTTATGTAAATACCAAATTTTAATTAATTATTTGAAAAACAAAGTTTGGAAGAGGTTGATTTTATGACCTAGAATATTAAAAACGAATTTAATTAAAAACAATTAAATAAATTGGCAATGTAAAGAGAACAAAAGAAAATAGTTTTGAAAATAAATTTGAGCATTAGGTTTCCACCGTCACCTTAACAATTCTACGTAGTTCTTCCAATTACTTATGAATTACCCATGCATATTTGAATGTTAGGTTTTCCTAAAGTATGCTCTACTTGGAACCTCCAACATAGAACGTATATCTAACATGCAACCCGTTCGTGGCGTCCAGATCGAATGTGAACATGCAAGACTCATTAAGTTTTGTGAAATCCTTTTGAAAAACCATATAACCCTTAAGACGTGTCGTTCATCCTAAGAAATTATACACAGTAATCACAAGAAGCCAACGCCAATTTCAGGGACATCCCTCCGCCGAAATTGCATCAAATTACTTTTCTAAATATCCTAATGGTGGCCAATCATCAAGACAATTAAATAGTTTCCACACGGTGATTAATAATTCAAAACTTGCATGCATAATATCATAAGTAAATTGAAAAGAAACTACATATTCTTGAAAAGAAACTACATGTTCTTGCTCAGGCTCGTGGCCTCGCCCTAGCAAACAAAACTAGTTACTAACAACCATAAAATAAAATATTATTAAAAATATGGATAGAAAACACCTTAAAAATAAACTTGAAAAGCTCTCGAGAGGAGTGCGTGCTTTCTCCTCCTTTTTCTCTCAACCCTAATGGCTAAAAAGCCTTATTTATACTACTACAAAATAAAACCTACCTAGAAAAGGTCGTAGAATAATACAAAGGCCTCAAAACAGCCACGTTTTTTTATCTTTAGGGCTCCAAAACAGGCCCAAAATGACTAGAATTAAAGCTTGAGATGTCCTCGAACATAATTGTAGAGGTCTCAAACCCAAAAGACATCATTTTGGACGCCAAAAAGCCCAAATAAGCCTAATATGTCACTTTTAATAACTGATATAACAAAAATGCCACATGGCATTATTCTAGTGATTAAGTTTGTTAATATAGTTAAAAGGGTATTATTGTAATTGAGATATATGGCTATATAAGGGATTGTATAGCTATCATTTCCTTAAGTTTAGTTGTATACATTTTCTCCAATCAATCAATACAATATTTCTTGTTTCTCTTTATCATCTTCCTCTTCTTTGTACCAATTCTTCATCTTTTGCAATGTAGGTAACATGGTATCAGAGTCACCAGGCTCACGCGATGGATTCTGGTGGTTTCTCTTTGTAGTAGTTTACGTTTTTTTTTCCTAGTTTAGTTTCTCTTCAATTTCCATTAGTTTTTCGGTGCTTCCGCGATTGTTCTTGGGTTGATTTTTCTGCGATTGTTGCGATTATTCTGGTTGAGTGTTCTTGTTGGTGTAATCATTCTTGGGGGAGTTGTGTAGTGCCTTGTTGACGACAGGCTTGCTGTCGAGCCATTTGATCTTGGCAGTGCAGATAAAGAACTATGATCCGTTGGTTCCGAGACCAGCGTTGGCCATGGTTCGTACGTGGCGGAGTCCAACAGGTACTAAGCAGTAGGTGTCGGTGTCTAAGCATAAGGAATACAGAACTAAAGTCGGTGCTTGACACAGAAAGAAGTCGGTGTCTAAATGTGTATGTAATCAGCTTGTTGTTTTTTGAGTATTTCGCATTTGTTGGTTATCTTGGTTGGAGGAAGAAGACAAAGAAGTCGTCATTGGAGACAACAAAGATGAAATCTTGAAGAATGGAAGTGGGTTGTTTAGATTTATAGGAAATAGGGTTTCTATAGGCTCTGTCCAATTTGTATAACGATGTCCGAGCTTCTTAAATGCTGCATTGAAGCTTTGGCGGTTCCTCAATCGGTAACCATCCATAAGAAACCCGTCGACTTAGAGAAGAATAACGAGCTTTTGAGATGGGTTCTAGTCCTGAAAGCCGCAGAGAGAGCTGAAAGCGAAGACTGATAGAAGTGCAGACATTTTTCGAGCAAATTTGGTAGTTTGCTCAAATCACTTTCTGAATTCTTTGGTGGTGTATGTTTGTTCAAGATTGTAAATCTTAGGAGCTCTTCAGGTTCTGATTCTCTCTCTGTTCTTTGGTATGGAAGAAAGATTAGACATGTGTGCAGTCCAGGTGTTTGTCGAAATGCCCAACTCAAAAGTTTCATGTGAAGGTTATGTTTTAAGTCATTTTTCTCTGAATTCTTGAACAATTAGAATGAATCTTTTCTAGGTTTTATGGGTTTCATGTGAAGGTTGGTCAAATCCTAAAATGCACACATTTAATGGGTTTGATTTTTTTTTTTTCCTACGAAAGGGTTATTCAGATTATGGTCTCTTCTTGGTGTTGTTTGCATATCAACTTTCTGGGTTCTATATTTGCCACTTTGATCCATGTTTTGTTCTCTGTTGTGGAGAAAATTTCTCAACTTTATGCAGTCCACATGTTTAAAGAAACGCACAACTCAAGTTGTTTTGTGAAGTTGGTGAAGACACAGTATTTGTCAAGTTGTTTTGTTGTTTTTTGGATGAATTATCTAAGATAAACTACTGTTTCATTCAGTGATTTGGTTAGATTACAAGATTTCAAGAAAGTGTCATTCTTTCTTTGATTCCATAGAATTTGTC